TTCTACTAGGAACCCCAATACGCTTCAAGGCATATATCTTCCTTAATTATGGGGTAGTTGGAGTCTTTCTAGAAATGTCGGAAACAGGCACCTCAATTCTCCTTTTTCAAACCCCCCCCCCGACCCCCCCCCCCCCCCACCACCCCAAAAGTAGAACCAAAGCGTAACCCCTAAATCCTAAGCCCTAAGCCCTAAACCCTAAACCCTAAACTCTAAACCCTAAAACCATCACTGGTTGGCCCTGGAATCCCTAAACGCTTCAGTCGCGAAACCATCGACACCCCTAAGCCCTAAACCTTAAGCTCCAAACCCTCAACCCTCAAACGCTCAAACCCTCAAGCCCTCAAACTCCACAGCCTGAGCCCTCAAAACCCCCAAACCCCAAACCCCAAAAAACCCAAAAACCCCAAGCCCTAAACCTTAAACCCTAAACCCTAAACCCTAAACCCTAAACCCTAAGCCCTAAGCCCTAAACCCTAAACCCCAAACCCTAAACCCTAAACCCTAAACCCTAAACCCTAAACCCTAAACCCTACAGCCCCTCATCTCCAGGCTCCTACCGTCAGCTCCTGGCCCAGGCGCTGCGCAAGGCTCCGGAGGTGCCCTCTCTTGCGGGATTAGGGTTTAGGGTTTAGGGTTTAGGGTTTAGGGTTTAGGGTTTAGGGTTTAGGGTTTGGGGGGTTTAGGGTTTAGGCTTTAGGGTTGAGGGTTTTCTCCGAAAATAGGGGTACCTTATGATAAGAGAATCCTAGTATCTGGGGGTCCATCATAGCGCTCCCTTATGTTTGTAAACTCCCGTATTATTCCAGCTAGGATTAGGGGGACCCTTAGGAGGCTGGCTCTCTTAAACAGGGGCCTATATGTCCAAGCCTCCCCTCGAACCTTATCCCCTATTCATGTATGCATATATATATATATATATGTATGCACATGTGTGTGCGGTACGGACTAATTTTGGTGTTATATATATATATATGCACATGTATGTGCACGTATGGACTAATTTTAGAGTTATTGGTATTGCATGTTTTTAAATTGTTTACTGTTACTGTCATGGTGATTGATATACTTGTTGCTATTGCTTTTGTTATTGCCATTCTCCTTTGTTCATACTTTGTGTTATTTGGTGGTATTGTCGGTATTTGTATTGTTTGTTTGTTACGTGTCGTCATTTGTAGTTTGAGGTTTAGGGCTGTGGGGTTTAGGATTTCGGGCTCAAAAGGGGGTGTGAGGGTGTAGGGCTTGGGTGTTGAGGTTGGGGTTGGGGAATACTTTTGGGGCCAGCTGGGATTGCGGTGTCCTCGAGCAGGTGTGCGTCGGGAGCTTTGACGATAAACACAGGGTGTTGCGAGACATTTCATCAGAAGTGCTCTTGCAAGGCTTGTTGCCTTTGAGGTAGTGCTCTTCTTATTATTTGTATTTTGATTGCTGTTATTACTATGACTATGATTGTTACCATTCATAAGAATGGTGTATATGCATAGAAAATTTTTATGTCAAAGTTAGGCTCCCCTTTTGGACCCACCCACACCCTAAATATTGGGTGCCGTATTATATAAGGGATGGGGACCATAATTTTGACAACCACCCATATATATATATATACGTATCTGTATGTATATATGTGCCATATCCTGGCAGTCGAAACAGCTGTCGCTCGCGGGAGGTTGCATTGACAAGTCAACTTGGGACTCCCCGCCAGCCCCCCCCCCCCTCCCCACAACCTTCAACCACCGCAAACCCCTCAACATCCCTAAACCCTAAACCCTAAGCTCTAAACCCTAAACCCCAAACCGTAAACTCCAAACCCTAAACCCTACCATGAACCTCCAAGCAGGTGCACCTGACCCCCGACACGCTGCCAGATGGCGATCACAGCTTCGATGCCTCCTGTCACGAGTAAGCGTCCGGGGGTTTAGGGTTTAGGGTTTAGGGTTTAGGGTTTAGGGTTCAGGGTTCAGGGTTGAGGGTTTAGGGTTTAGGGTTTAGGGTTTATGGCCTAGGGTTTGGGGTTCAGAGCTCTCGGCCGCGTTGCTGCTTGCTTTGTGGTTGCGTTTCGAAGTGCTGAGTGAGGGAGCAAGGTCGTTCAAGCATTCCAAAACCTAAGCCCTGAACCTAGACAAAATAGCATAAGCTATGTGTTTTCTGAGCTTGCGATCGGAGAAGTAAGGGCTTAGGAGTTAGGAGGTTCCAGGGTGGTTGGAATGTGGTGTGGGGCGAATCAACAAAATCACTTACATCAAGAAGAAGCCTACGCAATCGTTCAATTGTCTTAAACCCGCACCCCTAAACCCCAAACCTAAACCCCAAGCACCCCGGTTTTAGGGTTTGGTTTAGGGTTTGGGGTTTAGGGTTTAGGGTTTAGAGTTTAGGGTTTAGGGTTTAGGGTTTAGGGCCGCAGTCGCGCCAGGTCAAGGCCTTCGGTGTGCTCAGCTCCCTGCTCCCACTGTGCCTGCCGCGCTGAGTCGCCACGGAGCGTCCGCTGCGGCCGTGGTTCGATCCCAGGCTTCGGGGTTAGCCCTTTAGGGTTGAGGGTTTAGGGTTTTAGGGTTTTAGGGTTTTAGGGTTTTAGGGTTTTAGGGTTTTAGGGTTTTAGGGTTTTAGGGTTTTAGGGTTTTAGGGTTTGGGGTTTTGGGGTTTTGGGGTTTTAGGGTTTCGGGGTTAGGGTTTAGGGTTTCGGGGTTAGGGTTTCGGGTTTCGGGTTTAGGGTTTCGGGTTTCGGGGTTTTTGGGTTTTTGGGTTTTAGGGATTTGGGAAATTTAGGGATTTAGGGTTTTAGGATCTCAGGAAGTTAGGGTTTTCGGGTTTAGGAAATCTCTCACAAATTACCTGAAACCCTAAACCGTAAACCCTAAGCCCTCAAGCACTAGGCTGCTTCGGTGGTCTGTGTTGGTGGCAGGATCGAGAATATACATCGTGCTGCAGTTTGCAGGTACCCTAATCCCTAAACCCTAAACCCTAAACCCTAATCCCTAAACCCTAAACCCTAAACCCTAAACCCTAAACCCTAAACCCTAAACCCTAAACCCTAAACCCTAAACCCTAAACCCTAAACCCTAAACCCTAAACCCTAAACCCCTAAACCCCTAAACACCTAAACCCTAAACCCTAAACCCTAAACCCTAAACCCTAAACCCTAAACCCTAAACCCTAAACCCTAAACCCTAAACCCTAAACCCTAAACCCTAAACCCTAAACCCTAAACCCTAAACCCTACTCTGCAACGACCGCAGCGAGGCCTTCAAGAGAGAGAACAGTTTTGTATTTGAAGGGCAGTCGAGTTTCCGGGCGCACATGCCGCGATTTTGTCCCGCACCCAGGGTTTAGGGTTGAGGGTTTAGGGTTTAGGGTTTAGGGTTTAGGGTTTAGGGTTTAGGGTTTAGGGCCTCTGTGCAAAAGCAAGCTTTGCCAGCAGCTACAAGTCCAGCAGCAGCATCGATCAGTTCGGTACATGGGTGCGGGCAGTGGCAACAAGGCAACATCTTCAGCCTATGAAGTATGTCAGCTGATGTATGTGCTAGTCCTTGCAAGCCCATGAGATGCTGGTGCTCGGTATCTACCGTATCATGAGCTGCGGGCTTGGAGCGATCCCTGTGTTTTGTCTCTTCCGTGGGAGCACGCTCGCGCCGCAGCCTCTTTTGAGCCGTAGCCCTTTCCTGCAGTGGATACGCCCTCACAGGTATTAGCGTCGGAACGCAAGCATTTCAATTCTGACATTGGCCATGAACAAGTGCCTGCCATCAAAAAGAGGACTTTGGGGAGGGGGGGGGGTTCCGAGTTTTGACGCCCTGAGCCCTGTAAGTCTTATAGGATTCAGGGTTTAGGGTTCAGGGTTTAGGGTTTAGGGTTTAGGGTTTAGGGTTTAGGGTTTAGGGTTTAGGCTCTAGGGTCTAGGATTGAAGGTTAAGGGTTAAGGGTTTAGGGCTTAGGGCACCCTGGCGTGCGTTCAAGCAAGAGTAGCCCCGGCATGTGCCTTCGGCAGCGGCCGGCATGGTTGGGAATCCTCAAGAGACATACGTCCCAATGCATCCCCCTTTGCAACCTTTCCTTCTTTCCCTACACTTCCTGCAAGTGCACATGGGGGCCGGGGGCTTTGAAGCTTTCAGTCGGTCTGGGCTGTGGGTCGAGTGCGGAGCTGGGCGTTTGTGTTTAGGGTGCCTTGACTCCACAAGCGTGGCGACGCCCCAAACCCACCGAAACCCTAGACCCTGAACCCTCGGCCCTCAGTTCTCAACCCTAACCCCGAACCGCAAACCCTCAACTCTCAAACCGGAAACCCTCAACTCTCGAGCCGTAAACCCTCAACCCTCAACCCACAACCTCAACCCTTAACCCTCATACCCCTAACACTACACCCCAAACCCTAACCCCAAACCCCAACCCTACTCCCCCCAAGAAAAACAAATCAAAATAAAAATCCTCAACCCCTAAACCCCATAACCCTAAGCCCTAAACCCCTAAACCCGCATGAGCCTAAACCCTAAACCCCAAACCTAAAACCCTCTACTAAACCCAAACCCTAAACTCTAAACCCAAAACCCTAAACCCCAAACCCTAAACCCTAAACCCTAAACCCCAAGCCCTAAACCCTAAACCCCATTGGTTACTCTTGAGTCTACTTGGAGGTTCATGGTACTTAGTACCTAGTGCAGTTATAGTTAGTTACTAAGTACCAGGAACCTCAAACCCCAAACCGCAAAACCCAAACCCCAAACCCTAAACCCCAAACCCCAAACCACAAACCCTAAAGCCCTAAACCCTAGACCCCAAGCCCCAAACCCTAAACCCTAAACCCTAAACCCCAAACCCTAAACCCTATTCTTAGGTTACTCTTGAGTCTAGACAAAGGCACTATTGAGTCTTCTTGGAGGGTCAGGGTACTTAGTAACTAATTATAACGGTACTTATAGCCATGTTAGGGCACCTAGGGGGCTTATAAGTGGGATATAAGTGCATTCATAGTTAGTTACTAAGTACCAGGAACCTCCAAGTAGACTAAGGCACCCAGCTGCGGGAGAAGACCTCGGAGCAGCTACAGCTGATCGACCGCGAGGTCGTTGGGTTGAGGGTTGAGGGTTTAGGGTTGAGGGTTTAGGGTTTAGGGTTTAGGGTTTAGAGTTTTAGGGTTTAGGGTTTGGGGTTTTAGGGTTGAGGGTTGAGGGTTGAGGGTTTAGGGGTTGAGGGGTTGAGGGGTTGAGGGGTTGAGGGGTTGAGGGGTTGAGGGGGGCTGTGACTTTTGAAGGCTTTTGCAGGTTTTTTTTTGGGTGTGTTTCAGGTGTCTTTAGGATTGTTCATGGCTTGTGGGGCTCCAACTTTTAAGGGTTGTTAAAGGTTCTTTTCTGGCTTTTTTGGGTTTTTCTGGGGCTTTGTTTTTAAGGGTATCTAAGGTCTCGTTTTAGGTCTTCTCTTAATTCTTTTCCGGGTTTTACGGGGTTTTTAGAGCTTTTCTCAGGGGCTTTAAGGGTTTTAAGGGTCTTTTGGGGTTCGTTGCCTGGACATGAAGAAATAGTTGTGTCTCCTTGTGACCGTCGTGTTGTAGAGGTGTAGAAGCAATTCGCGAGTAGCTCCATTTGCCCAGTGTCCCCACCTGCTGTGCTCAAGTTGTTGTTTTCAAACCCGGGCTGTGGAGTCGTGGCGTGTTCTTTGCACTTCGAAAGAGGGTTTAGGGTTGAGGGTTGAGGGTTTAGGGTTTAAACGACAGTTCGAATGGTTCAGGAGTATGAGACAAAAGTATTGCCACGTATCGGCCCGACGCACTATGGCGGTCAATGCACTCAAGGCGACCATTTGCACAGGGGCTTATGGTTTAGGGTTTAGGGTTTAGGGTTTAGGGTTTAGGGTTTAGGGACCCTGCTGGGTATTCGTGGGAAGCAGATGGTAAGTACGTTGATGTTCTGGTTTCTGGACCAGACTCAACGGTGCCAAGGGTGTGGATGCACCCTCAAGCAAGGACTGTGGAAAGTCCGACAGGGATGCAGAAAAGGAACTGACTGCGGAGGAAGCCGCAGTGTTCCGAAAGTTGGCGGGCACTGCTTTGTCCCTCTCGTTGGACAGGCCTACGATACAGCTTGCAGTGAGTGACATCACCTCTGGTATGGCACGTCCTTTCAAAGGTTCCCGGATGGGCTATTAGGCCCTACAATCCCCACAATCAACCCTCTAAAGGGCTGTTTTAAGGGCTTATAGGGTGTAATGGCCCGTCCGGGTTCTGAATGGGTGCATGCGGGCTGTATAGGAGTTACGTTCCGGCTGTGTCAGGATTGTAAGAGAACAGGAGGTTCATGGTACTTATGTACTAATTATAACTGTACTTATAACTGTACTTATAGCCATATTAGGGCACTTAAGGGGCTTATAAGAGGGTTATAAGTACAGTTATCAGAGAATCACTAGTTACCCTAAACCCTAAACCCTAAACCCTAAACCCTAAACCCTAAACCCTAAACCCTAAACCCTAAACCCTAAGCCCTAAACCCTAAACCCTAAACCCTAAACCCTAAACGCTAAACCCTAGACCCTAAACCCTATAAGTTAGTTACTAAGTACCATGAACCTCCAAGTACATCCCAAGCCTCAGGAGCCCCCAAGTCTGAAACCCGCAAACCCCAACAGCCCCAATCAGTCATCCGCACCCTGAACCCTAGACGCTAAACCCGAAACCCTAAAAGCCCCAAGCCCCAAGCCCCAAGCCCCAAGCCCTAAGCCCTAAGCCCTAAACCCTAAACCCTAAACCCTAAACCCTAAACCCTAAACCCTAAACCCTAAACCCTAAACCCTAAACCCTAAACCCTAAACCCTAGACCCTAGACCCTAGACCCCAGACCCTACACCCCAGACCCTAACGAGCTGCAGGTGGAGCGGACGCGTCGGAGCTTCCATGGGCGGCAGGCCGCTTGAGGGCTCAAAAGGGTTTAGGGTCAGGGTTTAGGGTGTAGGGTTTAAGGTTTAGGGTTTAGGGTTTAGGGTTTAGGATTTAGGGTTTAGGGTTTAGGGTTCAGGGTTTAGTATTTAGGGTTTAGGGTTTCAGGGTTTCAGGGTTTGAGGGTTGAGCACACAGATTCTTGACGAATCGTGCCAGGTTCAAGTACTAGCACGTCATTCTGTACGTTATCCTGGAGAGGCCGCGTGCTTTCTTCTCAAGACTTTCAAGGTTTGAGGTAGATTGGCCGTGCGGCCATGGCTGATGTGGGCGACGTAGTGTACTGCATCTGCAAAGATTCAGCTGGGGCGAGTATCCGCCTTTGCGGCTGGGTTGTCGCCAGAGCTGAAGACGACGTGGTTTTGGCCGTTGGGGCTGAGGCCAACAGTAGTGTGGAGCAGGTTGTTCGTCCACCGGAGGGCAGCGTGAAGATTGCTTTCTTGCGAGTGGACCAGGACAGTGTGGTTCTGGCCCCCCCTGCAGGCTGGAAGGGAACGAAGCCCAAAGATTTGCCCGCCTTTGCTTCCTGCCAGGGGGCATGGAAAAAGGTAGACAAGGACACTTTGTCCAGCAGCGAAGCCGAGCCTCCTGTCGACACCTCGAACAAAGCTCGAAGGCCCAAGAGCGGGCTGGCCGCAGACTTGGGGCGCATGAGCAGTCTTTTCGAGGGCTCGGGCAGCGAGGAAGAAGACGAGGAAGAAGCTTGGATGAGCCGACCACGAAGCTCCGGCCACTTGCCTCCGGGGGCGAAGGCCCCTGGAAGCTCCAGAGAAGCCAAGAGCAAGGAGCCTGAGCTGGACATGAGAAAGGTCTTGGCGAAGGCGCTGGCTGGCGGCCAGTCAGGCCAAGATTTGATGCCCCTCATGTTTATGAGCCTCTTGATGGACCAGAAAAAGAAGAAGTCTCGCAAGGAGCACGACACCGGAGCACTCCTTGGTGGCTCGTCAGACGACAGCGACGAAGACAGCGATGTGCGAGGACATGGCATGAAGGCAGTGTCCACGTTGCATCGCTTGCATCAGAAGATTCGCTCGCACCCTCGCCGAGTTTGCTCTCAGTTCGAGAAAGAAGTGGTGGAGGAACTGGGGGTGGTATGCGGCCAGCCGTGGACACTCAGGGACTTCCTGAAACGACAAAGCTGGGGCAGATTCAAAGGCATCTACAGATGCGCGGTCATGGATGCGGTGGCCTACGAGCTTCTTCGTTCTGGAGAAGCAGACGCCGCAGCAGCGCAGCTGGTGCAGAACATGAAGGCCAAGATCCAGTCGGTGATCCAAGGTGGCGACTGGAGTGCGGCTTGGTTGCTGACGGGGATAGCGGACCCGTTAGTCAAACGGGAGTTCGCTGGAAGCAAAGAGGAGATGGCGGTGGTGTCAGGCTACCTGGATGCAGTGTCGAAGCTGCGCAAGAAAGTCAATCAGTCTGCCAGCAGCCACGCGGCCGACCACGAGGAGGACGACGGCGCCGCGAAGGCGGCGCGCAAGTGAACCTTGAACCTGGTGTGCAAGCTGGCGGAGGGTTTTGTACAGCCAATCCTTCGCTCTGGGGACGGAATTCGAAGGTTATCCGATATCTTGTTTGGCTACAGAGCGCCCCGTACCTGCCAGAAGTTTCTGGTGATGTTCCACTCTTTCCGTGTGTCCTACCCTACCCGGAGGCCGTGCCTGCCAAGGGGAGCGCAGTCCTTAAGTATGCCAACGCCAAGGAATGGGCCAAAGCCTTCATGAATGTGTTTGTGGCTTGGTCCAACTTCGTGGTGCTGGGTTGTCCCGACTGTGTGGGGGAGGTTAGCGAGCCGCGGGCAGGCTATCGAAGCATAGGGGATGCACGGTCCTTTTGCGATGAGCTGCTTGGCGAGGTGGAAAGTTTTTATGATGGTTCGCTTTTTACCGGTTCCTGTGACGGTAAAAGGGCAGAGGTTGAGGCGCTACTTGAGCGTCTGGATTGTACAGCCACAGGGTACCATGGCTTCGCTCGTGAGGCTGGTGAGTGCGATGTGTCGACCGCCCTTCCGGTGGTGGCTGCCAGGGTGGCTGTGCCTACTGAGGCTGGCAAGGTGGACCCCCTAGATTGGCTACCTATAGGGCAGCGTGAAGTAGTTGAGAACTTGGAAGAGCAGCAGCTACCCCGCCATTTATGGGAGGATGGCGTCGTTGCTTGCCACCGAGTTCCGGCGGATGAGGAGGAGGCTTTGGCTCGCAAGTTATGGAAGCATGGCATGGTCACTTTCCTTCCTGAGAGTGAACTCCCGAGAGATAATGAAGACAAGCTCTTATGTGGTGGCTTCTTTAGTGTGCGAAAGAACCAAGCAGAAGATCGTTTGATTTACGATCGTCGTCCAGAAAACTCCACCGTGAATCGTTTAGGTTGGGCTCAGCTCCCTAGTGGAGCTTGCTTTGGCCGCATGCTGTTGACAGAGAACGAATTCCTTCGAGGGAGCGGAGACGACTTACGCAATTACTATTACACGCTCCGTTTGCCAGCTCAATGGGCCAGGCACAATGCAGTTGGAAGGCGAGTGTCTCCCAACCTTCTTCGAGAGGCAGGACTCGACCCCAACATCCCACATCGCATGTGTATGAGGGTCCTAGGAATGGGTGACGTTAACGGTTGTGCTATAGCTCAAGCTGTTCATGAAGGAGTTCTGAGAAGCAAAGATGTGTTAAGCAGTGAAAGTACACTGGTGTATGGCCAACCCACTCCGTGCGGTGATCTGTGGGAGGGCGCGTACCTCGACGACCTGCTGATTGCCTTCAAGAAGAGACTCGACACTAAGATCCCCCTTGACGGAACCTTTGTCCCACCACCTGCCGAGGCCACGGACCCCGACATGGAGAAGATCTCGCGCGCCGAGGCCGCCTATGAGGATGCAGGCTTGGAGCGTGCGACGCACAAGAGTTTCAGGGCGCAAACCTCCTTCAAAGCCTGGGGTTGTGAGATTGATGGCATCCTGGGCACCGCAGGGGCACCACTGGTGGTTCGTAGGCAAGTTTGGGTTCTCCTGCGCAAGTTGGTCAAGTTGGGTTACGGGACGAAGCGCCTTTTGCAGCGAATCGTCGGCTACACCTCCTATATCTTCCAGTACCGTAGGGAACTTTACAGTTTGCAGCATCACCTCCACAAGTATATCTCCCGCATGCCGGATAAGACTTGGGTAAGGTTGCCCATGTTTATTTTGGATGAGCTCCGATCTATCAGTCTTCATCTCCCCTTTGCTGTTTGGAACATGAGACGCTCGCTGGATGCACAGGTGCTGGCAACGGATGCTACGCCTACAAGTGGTGGAGCAGTGGTTGCAGAGGCGCCCCCAGGGATTGTGCAAGAGTTATGGCAGTGTGGGGAGATTAGAGGGGAGGCTGTTCGTCTTGATCGTGAAAATGATTTGCTCTGGGAAGCGATGCATCCAAAGGTTCCATCAAAGATTGCAAGTGCAATTGCAGAGGCCCTTCCATGGCATATGCTCGAGCTACAGTTTTAGGCAGACTTCACACATAAACTTGCAGGAGGGCAGAGCATTGAAGCGGGAGATCCAACGCCTTGCTGGAGATGCCAGGCACCGCGGAAAGATCGTGGTGTGCTTGAATGACTCGCGGGTTATAGTAGGTGCTTTTACAAAAGGCCGCTCAAGCTCGTTCAAGTTAAATGGCTTGATCAGATCCATGTTGCCATATGTCATCGCGGGGAACTTGGCGCTGTGCTTGGTTTGGGTGGAAACGGAGAGCAATCGAGCCGATGAACCGTCCCGATTCAAGCCATTGCCCCCTCCAATTCCCCCCACCAGGTGGATGCAACAGCTTGGACTCGAAGGTGGAAGGCATGGTCAGCCGGGATGGGAGATTTTTGCAGGAACTGCGGTGCTCACAAAGTGCCACCGTGAGGCCGGCAGCCCGATGTGGGCGCCCGTCGAGATCAAGTACGGATCTGATGCCTTCGACCCAGCAGTCGTTCAAAATATCATGAAGGGGCAGGTCTCCTGGGTGTGGTTGTCCCTGCCCTGCTCAAGTTTCTCACCTTTACGCAGCCTGGACGCAGGTGGCCCTCTCCGGCCACGGCACCTTCCTGAGGGTCGACCAAACGACCCGCGAGTGCTCACAGGCAACCGGCTTTGGGATCGAGCAGTGCAAATTGCAACATTGTGTGTGTGTGTGTGTGGCTTGTGGTGTGCCTTTTGTTCTTGAACATCCACGTCGGTCACGCGCGTGGGAAATGCCTTCGACTTCTAGGTTATGGAAGGCGGCGGGGGTGCAACAACACATCGTGCACATGTGCGCCTACGGGGGGGTCGCTGCAGGAGTTTCCGAGTTCAACAAAAGGGAGACCCGTCTCGTTGGCGCAGCGCCGTGGCTCGAGTCTGTTGTAAAGGCATGCCCTGGCGATCATGCACACCCCCCTGCTCTGCAATATGAACGAGCGCGAGCTGTGGGCAGCTATCCCCCGACGTTCTGCCAGGCCCTAGCCAAAGCGCGCCTGGCCTGGCTAGCCAATGGTGCGAAAACTGCGTGATGCTGGCCTGACGCCAGCCTACCGCCGAAACCTTCGGGAGTCGGCCGAGTGGATGCTAAATTGGTGCGCAGTTTGGGTGGGAGATTGTCGCGGGCTTCGTCGTCTCGAAACATCGATATGTGGTTGGAGAGGGCAGTCAATGCAGCCTTCAACAGAGGGGACAAACTGTACAGAGTCACTTTGGGAGTTTTGGGTTTGCAACGTCAGCTAAAGATGTCGGGGCCGCTCCTGAGGGGCACATGGTCGGCGATTCGAGGATGGAGATCCATTACACCTGTGAGGTCCCGAGTCCCCGTCACGCGGTACACCCTTCAGGCCATGATACTAGTATGCTTGTCGGAGGGATTCAAAGAGGTGGGCAGGAATCGTCAGGGTTGGTGGGCCTGCGGACTAGCGCTCTGGCTTGGCTTTGAGGCTCTCATGAGACCTGGTGAAGTTTGCCGTCTGCTCGTAAAAGATCTTAGCTTTCCAGATGCGTTGGCAATTGGGGACGTGAATGCTGGTTTGGTCATCTTGGTGAGGCGTCCTAAGACAAGACGCGTGTGGAGGGAGCAGTTCATCCTCGTGAAGAATGGGCCTTTGATGCACTGGATGGCGTGGTGGTGCCGGGGGTGGTTGAGCAGGGAGATGTTGTTTCCTTTTACTTATCACTCCTGGGCCGCGCTGTTTAAACAGGTGTTGGCTATTCTTGATTTGGAATCGTTGAACTACTCTTTGGGGTCCTTACGGGCTGGTGGCGCAACGGAGCACTTTAGACAACATCAGGACCTGGGGCAGCTCCAGTACTTGGGACGGTGGCACAATGCTGATTCACTTCGCAGTTACCTACATCTAGCTATGGCAGTGCATGTTGCAGCGGCAGCCCCCAAGGAAGCAGCTAAGAAGCTCTCCACAGCACATCGTTTCACGAGCTATCTTGAAAGACCTCCGCGATTGGAGCTCAAGAGGTTGCTAGCGTTGTAGTGATGCCGCAGAGACCTCGTGTACCCCACCAACCTCCGCCTCTACCTGGTCCTGAGTAACCCACAAGGGCGAGGCGGAAGGCCTTGCTCTGGTGGCATGGCCCACGGTGATGGAGAAGACCCTCACAGAGCAACGCCTCGCAGAACCAAGGCTTCAGCGCGTGAACGCAGTGCTCGAAGCGCTGGTGCTTTGGAGGGCAGTTCACGGGGAGCGGCCGATGAGCCAGCTCCACCTGTAAGCGTCCCGGGGGCCATCTCGGGAGCTGCAGCCGAGATGGCAACAGCGGTGCAGCGTGTAGCAAGCAAGCTGGGATCCACTCATGTTGATAGGGGGCGTACAGCAGCCGACATTTTGTCGGACGAATCGTCCCGTGAAGCCGCCAGTCGTTGGAGAACTGGCTCAGATCATCGTCGGTTCACCGCTTTACTTGCTAGGGTTATGAGCGGCCTGGCCAACATGAACCCGCTGGGGCAGCAGCGGGGCGAGAGACGCCGGGACGAGCCTCCCGTGGCGGTGCCACGACCTTTGCAAGGAGAGGATCGTCGGGCCGCAGGCGCGGATAGGCCACGCCTGAATCCGATGGCGTGGGCCAGGCGTTTGCAGTTGATTTGGGGTTGGAGGACTATACTGGCCCTCGTTGTGATCATGATCTTTCCGCGGCTTTTTGCAATGGTGGTCACGTTGAGCCTCAAACTTCTCCTGAAAGGTTTCTTGCTGCTGCTGGGGCGTTTGCTGAGGGAGTTGTTCCTGCACTTTTCGAGCCTAGCAGCGGAGATGGAACAACAATTGATGGATGTCCTGCAGAACCAACTGCAGTCGGCCATGCAGCCAGATTTTCTGCAGCCTCAGCTGGTGGCCGCCCCAGGCTTCGCTGGCGCGCTTCCGCAGCCGCAGCCCCTCCCAACCCGCCCTGTCGATGGGGTCAGCGTGATTTTGCTTCTTCTGCAGTTTCGCCGAGGAGGGCCAGTACTCAGGGGGGGTGGGGGTGGTGGTGAGGGAGACCGCTAGCTGCACTACCTCAAAGGCTAGTTCGGCACTGCCTCAAGGGCTAGTTCGCTTTCTCCTGGCCTTAAAAGTCTTTACCGTGAGACGCTGGTGCACAGAGCACTTTTCAGTATCACGAAGCCTCATGATCTTTCAGCTTACTCGATTGGCGCAGCCAGACAAAAGTGTGAGCCGTGTTCAGAGCGCGGGGCCTCAGATGAGTTCAAGAATTGGGGTTTAGGGTTTAGGGGTTTGGGCTGTAAGGTTTTGGGGAGTAGGGCTTTTCGGCTTTAGGGATTTAGGGCTTTAGTGTTGAGGATGCTTGCGGGCTTCTCAGTGCTTAAACCCTGAAGCTTGCACAGTAAACCTGACAGCCTAAACCCTAAAGCCCTAAAACCCCTAAACCCCTAACCCCAACAACCTAAACCTAAACCCTAACCCCTAAACCCTAAACCCCTAAACCCGTAAACCCCTAAACCCCTAGACCCCTAAACCCCTACACCCCGAAACCCCCTAAACCCTAAACCCCTAAACCCTAAACCCACGAGAGGTCTTTGTTGAGACGCCCGTCGACCGACCCGACTCCAGGTGGGGAAGAGCCGGGGCGGATCGGGGCTTTGGGGTTGAGGATCTAGCAGCCTAGGGGCCTAAACCCTAAACCCTAAACCCCAAACCCTAAACCCTAAACCCCAAACCCTAAACCCCAAACCCTAAACCCGAGACCCTAAACCACAAACCCTAAACCCTAAACCCTAACCCCAAACCCCAAACCCTAAACCCTAAACCCTAAACCCTAAACCCTAAGCCATTGACCTAGAGCCTCCGTGCCGCGCGAGAGCCTAGAAGCCCCTCAAGAGCCACAAGCCCTTATGACGACCCAGCCCTGCTGCCCAAGACACTTGACTAGGGCAAAGAGTGGGCCTGTTGTTGGGCTTCGGGTTCAGGGTTCAGGGTTTAGGGTTTAGGGTTTAGGGTTTAGGGTTTCGGGTTTAGGGTTTAGGGCTAGGAGCGGCTAGGACCCAGAGTAGGCCCTTATTCCCGTTTTGTGGGGTTTAGGTCCCCTTCATAAAACCAAAAAAGGGCACCTCAACACCTTGATCGTAAGGAACCAAGGGGAAGGGAGGGCCCCCATATTCCCCAAATAGCGGCGAAATAAACCCTAAACCCTAAACCCTAAACCCTAAACCCTAAACCCGAAACCCGAAACCCTAAACCCTAAACCCGAAACCCTAAACCCTAAACCCTAAACCCTAAACCCCAAACCCCAAACCCTAAACCAACATCAGGGAATGTCGGCCCCGTTCACCTCCCTTCCACCCCTTGGGTTCCTTAGGACTTGAGGCGGCCTCCAATGCTCGAAGGTCTGCAGCCTTAGTCTCATAAGGGGTTTAGGGTTTAGGGTTTAGGGTTTAGGGGTTGGGGTTTAGGGTTTAGGGTTTAGGGTTGAGGGGGCCTAGGGTTTAGGGTCTAGGGTTTAGGGTTGCCAAGTTTAGTTTGCGTCCGAAGGTTGTGGGGGTTTGGACTGTCATGTTTCACAATACCAAAACCACTAACGTCCACAACAGTAGCCAAAAAGTTAGTTCTTTAACATGTTCACTATGACGAAGAAGATATTACATATATATATATATATGACCATATATATATACACACTTCTACTATTATATGTAGATGAAGGAATAGAGAATAGAAACGAAGCAAATTGAAACATCAAGAAGTGCATTTACACATATATATATATATATATGCAGTATCATTTTCTGGTTGAGCACGTACAGCGTGGACTTCGTCGGCGTCGTCTGCTACATCAGGCTTCAGGGTTTGGGCATTGTAGCATCATGTAAGCTAGGTACTGCACCACAAACCCTTCACGCTTTACTCGAAACCCTAAACCCTAAAACCTAAGCCCCAAACGCCAAAACCCGAAACCCCAAACCCTAAACCCAAAACCCTAAACCCCAAATCCCAAACCCTAAACCCCTAAACCTAAACCCTAAATCCCAAACCCTAAACCCCTAAACGTAAACCCAAAATCCAAACCCTGAACCCCAAACCCTTATCCTTACCACAGCTTGCCTGCCATGGACGTGCGGATCCGCGTGACTCTGCTCAGCGGCCGGAGCGCCACGGTGGAACTCGCGCCTGAGAGCCAGGCTCGGTGCTTGGGTTTAGGGTTTAGGGTTTAGGGTTTGGGGTTTAGGGTTTAGGGTTAAGGGTTTAGGGTTTAGGGTTAGGGTTTGGGGTTTCGGGTTTCGGGTTTAGGGTTTAGGGTTTAGGGTTTAGGGTTTACGGCTGGGAGGAGCCGGCTTTTTTGGTTCTACGTTCCCTTATAGAGTAGCCAACCCCAAAAAGGGTACCATTATTGTACCTACCGTAAACCCTAAAGCCTAAACCCGAAGCTCTTTTCGTGATATGGTTACTGTGCTACCCGGGTTATTATTGCAGTTAGAACTCTTCCAAGCATTGTCTCTGTAACGCTGTTACACTAGTGCTGGTGTTCTTCATCCTGTTGTTCTTGTTTATTGATCCTCCTCCTCCTCCTCTTTCGATCACGTAAAAAAGTGTATCATGGTTTTTTTTTTTTGGGGGGGGGGGGGCTAGGAAAACCCCAAACCATCAAACAAAAAACCCGAAACCCGAACCATGTCCCTCCAAATGCCCAGCCATGAAAACACTCTAAGCCGTAACTGGGCTTTTAAGCACAGGGCTTTGGGGTTCAGGTACTTTAGGGATCGGAATAACTACTAATAGCATTCCCTTTTTATGGTCCCTTTATTCCTATACTATCAGAGCCCCCAAAAAACCCTGCTCTACTTACTCAGGTCCCTATATACCCCAGACCCCCAACCCTCCTCCACCAACTCAAGCAGCTTCACCCTAAACCCTCAACAGTCCCGAACTCCTACAGCAAACCCCCCTGGAACCCCCAAACCCCCCCAAACCCCCCTAAACCCCCCCTAAGAACCCTAAACCCTAAACCCTAAACCCTAAACCCTAAACCCCAAACCCTAAACCCTAAACCCTCAACCCTCAACCCTCAACCCTCAACCCTCAACCCTCAACCCTGAACCCTGAACCCTAAACCCTAAACCCTAAACCCTAAACCCTAAACCCTAAACCCTAACCCCTGAAGTGCCATCAACTCAACACGGCCGCAGGTGCGGGAGCTGAAGGGGAAAGCCCAGGAGCTCCTGAAGGCTCCAAGTAGGGTTTAGGGTTTAGGGTTTAGGGTTTAGGGTTTAGGGTTTAGGGTTCAGCATCTCTGGTCCAAGCATTCACTAAGGGTTTCTGTGATCACCCTACGTGTTTGGCATCACCCCTCCCTCCCAAATCCCTCTTCATCTGAATTACATATCTTCTTTCTTACTTTAGTTGATCATTTAGCTCGCAACATTCTTTCTCGATTCGGCACCGTCTAGTCAATTCGGCACACGGATAATACACAGCCGCGTCGGTTTTCTGGGTTTTTTGACCAAAACCGAGCCTTCACCGGTTTCAAAAATTTCCGTGAGGAGCAAAATGGCACGAAGGCAGGCGAGGGCAGGAAATCCGGAATCGCATCTTGCTGATTCGTCTAAGCATGGCTATTGAATCGTACAACCGTGGCGCCGCAACCAACGCAGAAAACACCCAAAAAACGCGGGTTCTGGGCCAGCAAGCGGTTTTTGGCTGCTGCGTCGGTTTAGGAAAACCGTACAAAACACCTGCGAAAACGCAGAAAAACAAAACGGACCACGCGCCCAAAATTTCGAATTTCGGCGTCCCGGGGGGGCCCCGGGACAATGTCCTGGGGGCGTCCCGGGGCGTCCTGGGGCCCCCGGGACAGCTGTCCTGGGGGTGTCCCGGGGGGGCCCCGGGACATTTGTCCCAGGAGGGCCCCGGGACGCCCCGGGAACCTGTCCCCCGTGGGGGGGCCCCGGGACAACCTGTCCCGGGGTGACCGGGACAGCCTCCCAGGGCCTCCCAGGGGCCTCCCAGGGGCCTCCCAGGGGCCTCCCAGGGGCCTCCCAGGCTCGAAGATGGAAAAAACAGGGGCTCAAGCCGAAAAACGCGATTTTTGAGCAGTGGCCCAGGCTGAGCCCGAAAAAGGGCCTCTGGTCCAGCAACGAAGGCCGCAGTCGGCACCGCCCCCAGAGCCTAAATCCTAAACCCTAAATCCTAAATCCTAAAGCCTAAATCCGAAATCCTAAATCCTCAATCCTAAATCCTAAATCCTAAATCCTAAATCCTAAATCCTAAATCCTAAATCCTAAATCCTAAATCCTAAATCCTAAATCCTAAATCCTAAATCCTAAATCCTAAATCCTAAAGCCTCAAAAAATCATAATCAGAACACGACCCCATTAAGGTTTAAATATACATAGGTAGAGAGGGTTTAGGGTTTAGGGTTTAGGGTTTAGGGGTTTAGGGGTTCAGGGTTCAGGGTTCAGGGTTTAGGGTTTAGGGTTTAGGGTTTAGGGTGGAGGGTTCAGGGTTTGGGGTTTAGGGTTTAGGGGTTCTTGTTTCAGGAGCTCAAACTCAGTTTCCCAACCCTGCCCTGGCAACCTGCCTTAAGTTCCCTAGCGAGAACCCTGTTTTGGTCATAAGGCCCGAGATGGTCCCAAGACACTTGGGGTTTAGGGTTTAGGGTTGAGGGTTTAGGGCTTAGGGGAGCTTGGATCCTGACCCCGAAGGCCTTTCGGAGTAGGCGTTGGGTTTCGTGTCGAAGGCATCGGGTTGATGTAAGCCATCTCTGAGGGTTTCGGGTTTAGGGTTTAGGGCTAGCTCTCCCTGCTTCATGGATGAGTTTGTGTAAAGACGCGTGCCCAGGTGGCTTAGGGCTTCCCTTGCACCCTTAAACCCTAAGCCCTAAACCCTAAACCCTAAACCCTAAACCCTAAACCCTAAACCCTAAACCCTAAACCCTAGACCCTAGACCCTAGACCCTAAACCCTAAACCCTAAACCCTACACCCTAAACCCTAAACCCTAAACCCTAAACCCTAAACCCTAAACCCTAAACCCTAAACCCCCAATCCTAAACAAACCCTAAACCCTCAGCTGCCAGCGAGGTGTGTATCTTTGAGCTCGTTGCGTCCGAGCGGGTAGACAAGTGCCTCCTTCCCGAGCAGACCCTGCAAGAGGCTCCGGGCTCTTTCAGTGGACGGTTAGGGCTTAGGGTTTAGGGTTTAGGGTTTAGGGTTTAGGCTTTAGGCTTTAAGGTTTGGGGTCTAGGGTTTAGAGTTTGGGGTTTAGGGTTTGGGGTTTGGGTTTAGGGTTCAGGGTTCACGGTTTAGGGTTTGGGGCTTAGGGTTTACGATTTAAGATTTAGGGTTTGGGGATTAGGGTTTAGGATTGAGGGCTTAGGTTGTAGGGTTTAGGGTAGAGCCCCGACGGGTTACTTGTAGGGAGGAGTGGAGTGTACAGTGTAAGCGATAGGAAGCATGTGTATGTATTTGAGCGTTGACCGGGACAGCAAGCAGTCAAGCGCTGACACGCCGATAGAAGGTTGCTACGCCACCCCCCCCCCCCCCCCCCCCACCCTGCAGACTGAGCGCTAAACACGCAAGTCTCAACCCTCAACCCTCAACCCTGAACCCTCAACCCTCA